ACGACGGCGGCGGCATCGTTGCAGATGAAGACCGGCACGTTTCACACTTGAAAAAAGCCTTATCTCCTAACTCCTTAAAAATATTTAACTCTTCGTTTGACAGACCGGCACACGAAATGTGAAACCACGACAGACAATATCCAAAACACTTGATACATTTACTGTTCTTCGTAATATTTCTTTTGCAATCCGCCGAGCCACATCTAGTAGGCGCCATCTTGATGACGCAAAAAGCGTCATCACCTGTTTACTTTCATAACAGCATAGTTTCATTTCATAACAGCATAGTTTTTCTCATAACAACACGGGTAATGGACCAATGAGGTTCAAGGATTGAGAGAAAAGAAGTAAAATTGTAATGCTTCGAATGTCAACTAAACAGCTGATCAGTTTACAATTTTAATTGTTGATCCGACTTTTTCCTGTTGATACTCGCGTATTCTTAACCTATAGTCCAGGACCTGACTAGGGTTCTGTGTGCATGTCGTGTATAGAGAATTTTGCTTTTGCATTTCAATATAGATGTCTTAGGAAGTGTTTTCCACTCGGGTGTCAAGTTCGCACCTGGTACGTTTTCGAGCTATGACGTCATCAAAATGGCGGCCATTGATTTTTTTAAATCGTATATTTCGCAAACTATTTGTCGGATCGGAATGAACTTTTTTTTGTTTGAAAGATAATTTTAAATGCTACCTGTTTTACATTTACACATTTGTTGTATGTTTAGTACATTCTTCGTAATTTTGCAAAACCTGTATTTTTAAATATTTTTGAGTTATTTTTGTTTGTAACGTTTTATTGATACAATTTATCAAAAACCACCAATGAAAAAAGTTGTAGAACGTTTAAAAATCTTTACAAAAATACCAAATTCGATATGTTTTACTCAAAATATTACGTCAAGAAACTAGATAAATCTCATAAAAACACCAATTATGGCGCAAAAACGCCTATTAGTCCGGCATCTAGGGCAGTTCGCAAGTCTTATAAAGACAGTTTCGCCATTCAATGTTGATGTATGTGTCTAAATAAGTGTTTTCAACTCGGGTGTCACGTCTGCACCCACTGCAGTTTCCGGTTATGACGTCATTAAAATGGCGGAAATGGCTATATTAAAAATAACTATATATTACATACCATGTATCGGATCGGAATGAACTTTTTTTGTTTGAAAGATAAGTTTACATGCTATCTTTCTTACATTTGCACTTTTGTTTTATGTTTAGTACATTTTTCGTAATTTTGCAAAAACCTATATTTTTAAACATTTTTGTGTCATTTTTGTCGATAACGTTTTATTGATACAATATATCAGAAATAGCTTAAAGACAAAGTTGTAGCACGTTAAAAGAGCTTTACAAAAATACCAAATTTATCTAAAATATGAGATTTATCTAGTTTCTTGACGTAATATTTTGAGTAAAACATATCGAATTTTGGTATTTTTGTAAAGATTTTTAAACTTTCTACAACTTTTTTCATTGGTGGTTTTTGATAAATTGTATCAATAAAACGTTACAAACAAAAATAACTCAAAAATATTTAAAAATACAGGTTTTTGCAAACTTACGAAGAATGTACTAAACATGCAACAAATGTGTAAATGTAAAACAGGTAGCATTTAAAATTATCTTTCAAACAAAAAAAAGTTCATTCCGATCCGACAAATAGTTTGCGAAATACACGATTTAAAAAAATCAATGGCCGCCATTTTGATGACGTCATAGCTCGAAAACGTACCAGGTGCGAACTTGACACCCGAGTGGAAAACACTTCCTAAGACATCTATATTGAAATGCAAAAGCAAAATTCTCTATACACGACATGCACACAGAACCCTAGTCAGGTCCTGGACTACTAAGTTGGTGGAAGTTAAAGGAAGTTAGATTAAACTGATTTAAAAATGTAATTTAGTGAAAGTGAAGTTGACGAGATGGAAATGAGAGCACAAACCGTTTGTGCGAACCTTTTGCCACCGAAATCGAAACAAAGGTATTAAATTACATACCAGCAATTCATCAAATGGACGATATAAAATAAGGTTAAATTGATAAATGATAAATAACTTCTTGATCAGCATTGCACGTGGTTTATTTCGAAACCATCTAACCACTATTCAGCCAACTCGTTGTGCACTACATATTCTATGCTGAGATCTAACTGTAAATTAATTGTTTCACTATATTATTCAGTAGACCAAAAATATATGCAATATTTCCCTAATTGTACCTGATACTGTATTTATAGTAAGAATGCTGCTAGCAGAACCTATTCCCTGAAAAATGTAACGTATTATTTAAAGAAGTTTTACAAACACGTAATTACATGAAATCAGCTGATCATACAATAAGTCGTTGCATCACAGTGACAATAAATTAAAACATAACCTCTCTAAGAAGTTATGAGTAGTGATTGATAGTAATTAAAAACCAGATTGTTATTAATTAAAAACGGTCGTAGGTAAAGTAGTGTACGCAACTCGCGTTAATAGTCTTTACGACACTCGTAGAAGTTTTTAAGGCACTCGCCAAGGCTCGTGCCTTAAATTTTCTACTCGTATCGTAAAGACTAACTTAACGCAATCGTTGCGTAAACTACTATTACCACATCCCTAGTGTTTATAGTGTTGAGGTAGTATTTATATGGACCACAACTTAGGTACCATAGTCTGAGTGATCATAGTGCTCTCCTGGTTAGAAGACCACTGGTTTGATTCTGGGAAAAGTTAAGAAAATAGGGTGAAACTAGGCTCAGCTGTTCTTGATCATAGGGGTTTTAATAAATCATCCGAGCTAAAGGACCAGCTGCGATGATCTTATTTAGTAAAAAAGTTATAATCTCATTAATAATAAAGATCGATGAACCGCATTCGCCCAGCACAAGTAGACTACGTGCACTCAAAACGGGCCTTCCTATGTCAACCAACCTGACTCAACTTTAAATATATGTCACATCGCGTCGGTAGTAACAATCTTTGCACATTGAAACACGTACGTCTTGCTGCTACAAAGTCCAGTTTATTAAGGAGGAGCGTCTAGATAACAAATGGGGTGGGGGACATGCAAGTCTACAGAATTTAAGTCAGAATGAAGTTACCCATTTATAATAATGATAATAATAAAATGACAGCGAACAACCTATTTTCAATAAGGGTGGAAAAAACACAAATTTTAGAAGATTACATTTATATTTTACATTTTGAAAGATTATTACTCTTAGAGAGGGGGGGGGTTATCTCATGAATACTGGGAGAAACTTTCTCAGAAAAAGTCTGTACTTTGAAACTCCTCTCCTGCCTGTTAAGCAGACTACGCAGTATTTTAAAAAATCCTTGGAAAAATCTTTGCTAATCGTTGTGTCCGTTTGCGTTGGTTTCATGTAGATTTCATAGTCTATCTTGTCGTCTTTTCTTTTTAGAGTTATAGGTCCAGGATGTTGATCTTGTTGTTTTCTTCGAATTCGTTGGTAAACGTTAGGTTCGGGTGTTGGCTATGTTGAATCTGCATGATTCATCTATTCATCCAACGATCCACAAGACTGCAGTCTTCAGATCCATGTTGCACCGAGCTAACAATATTCCATTACTCTGGACTGGAAACAGATTCAAGTGTCACCACACAGTGTCGTCTTCGAGATTGTTCTAGTCCACCGACAGCGACCCTATAAAGCAGGAAACCCACTATAAGATGAGCCTTCAAGAGGAACCTAGCTCGACACGGGAGCGAAAGTATGTACTTCCCACGCCATATTGTCAATTTTATAAAATAATCATCTTCTTATCCTCTGGTACTGTTTATTCCACTAGAGAATGGTATTGTCAAATTAATAATTGTTACTCATTATTACTCTCACTATTACATCTAATTATTACTCATTATCAAATATCAATGAGTGAAGTGCAAACCGTAAAATTTACGTTATGAACAGGGTCGTACCCAGCTTTGGCAGGTCTCGGTAAAGATATTAGGCCGGGCCCCTCCTCCCCTTGAAGTATATGCCACCTGGTGGGGCCTAAGCCCCGGTACAATTGTCAGGGAAACCCGGTCTGAATACGGCCCTGGTTATGAATCCTACTTCAACGTATTCTAGGATTTCCAGATGAAGACCTACCTTATCCAAAATCAATGTGGAATCACTTAATTGTTCGATCAGTATAATGGGATATTCCGGATACAATCTGATTTGTTTTTTAAATCGAACTATCTAACATAATAACCATTTTAGGCAAAATTTGGCAGTTAAGTTACATTTTAGGCGTCTTGGGATCACTGAGCTATAATTCTAACTGGAGGTAGCACTGAATGTCAAAGATGCGTGTCGCGAGCCGCCATGTTTGCGTGAGGTGAGTGTCAAGAAGCCATGTTATTGCAATGACAAGAAAACTCACTGCTATACCAACCTAGTTATAAGAAGCCATGTTATTGCTATCATAAGAAAACCAACTGCTATACCAACCTAACAAAATCAGCGACACGCTATTGACAGACTTCTGCCATGACAGTGCTACCTCCAGTTATAATTTTAGCTCAGTGCTTAGGATGGTTTGTTACTTGATTGTGAGGGAATCTACGCCTTTGACTGTGGCCATTCTATAATAGCATTGACTTTATATTTACACTGTAGATATAAAGTCAATGATAATAGTTAGTTAGGTAACGTTTTATAAAAATTGCCAATGAAAGACAACAAAACTCAGTTACTACGGCGATCTAGACCTTAAACCTGGAACATAATATATATATATATATATATATATATATATATATTATTACTTTAGCATAGTCAAAAACTACTAAATTTTTTGTAAAGAAAGTTAAAACTACTGCTCTTGTATTCATTGTATTTGTATACAAGGGAGTATATTTAATCTATGCTGCTGCATACATTTACCTCTTTGGGTATACTCTAGGTTTTTTCCTCTTTGTTTCTTTGCAGTAGATGAAGCAGACAGCAAACCCCTAATTGTCATTATTTGTCAATGTTTTCATTGCATCTGTCTAGTGTCTGTCATTATAGGCGATGCAAATATTAAGAAATGCATTGAGTTTTCTTTGACTTTATCATTTTTTCCAGAATGTAGAAGTTCCTTATTAAGAAATGGTTTTAACTAGATAAATATTTTAAAGTAACTATGAGATCTAAAAATGCTTTCATTTTAGTAACTAAGGAAAAATTGATTATTGACTTCGAGAAGTCTTGTGAAGAGGTGAGTAATATTGTGTCTGGTTTAGGAGTTATGCTTTACTTTTTGGCATATTTTGTTAAAATATTCTAAAAATTAAATTAAATTCTTTATAGATTAAATTTCATACTCTAAATTATTACCTAAATTCCCACACATCTAGGGTAGGCCTAGACTTAGACCAATTACACATGAGAATGTTTAGTTAGGCCTTCCTAATAATTGGCACTTTTCTTTGGCTGCAGTTGACCTAGACCTTTTTAAAACTAGTTACAGTATTGTGTTATTGGAGTCAACTTTGTATATTATTCTTCCCCATATTCCTTATTTACTTTCATTAAATCTTCAAAGGACAAACATTTGAGTTTATTGTTTTCCCTCAGACATTGATTTCTAGGTAAGGCCACAAAGAATTAAGAAACAGATGGTCCATTCGGCTGCACTTTACTTGACGTCCTACACTCATTGGAATGAAAATATTGATCGATATATCGATTAATCGATTGCTTCATTCGATATATCGTTTGGTTAGTTAGGTAAGGTTAACCTAACCTAACTAACCAAACGATATATCGAATGAAAGAATCGAATGAAAATATCGAATCGAAAAAACCAATCGAATGAGTGTAGGACGTCAAGTAAAGTGCAGCCGTACATTCAATGGTGTCTAGAGAAAATTCCTGTCGCCATCACCTTCCGGTCTCCTCTCCCCCCTCGCCATCTCGTACTAACTTACAGTGTTCATACTGTAGGAATAGGCCTACCCTGTGTACAAAAATGTTATCTGGCTATCCTCGTTCAGGGTCTTCCTTGCTCGGTTGTCGGTTCAAGTACATTTCTGCCACAACATACCAGAGCTAAAAGCGCACGGCTGTCCCATAAGCGTGTAACTTATCCGCTGTATTTTACTTCTCTGTGGTAAGGCTTACATTTTTACCTTATTGCATTATGTAGAATAATTTAATCCCACAAATATTGAGAAATTTGTTATTATAGATTTAGTGTTAATTTCATGCCAAATTACGAGGGAGATAGTAACCTACCACTTAGGGGCTAACTTAGATAGAATCTAACAATCGACATAAAATGTTTAGGGTTACAAAACCTTACAAATAAGTTATTACTGTACATCAATATTTTCTTAAACCTATTACAAAGTGTCAGATTATATCATTTAAAACTTTTCCAACTAGTACCTATTTCTCGTAACTGTTGACTGAACTAGGCTTGGCCCAAACCTTTTCTCATTGTACGTCTCTAACAAAGTAGGCTAGTATACTGTAGGTTAAAACTTAGTGGCTTAGGCCTATTATATTTCAGCCTAGAGCTCAGATAAAATAATTTAGGCCTATGAAAGCCTTCATTTTCAACAAAAATTAATTTCATTGTTAGTTTTAAGTAACTTAACACTAAGTAGACTTAATCAATAAATTTTGTATAGTATAGGAAGCCTCCATCTACATTTTTTTCAATTAGGCTACCTAGAATTGATCAGTGGTCACTGATCAATTCTACCGTTTGGTGGCTTATTCATTTGTTTATGCCATGCTCATAATGAGTAACTTAGGCTGTTTAAAAGTCAAATAAAACTCATTAACTGTAATTTTATTGGTTAAAGGTTGGAGCAGCAGGACTGCTTGATGTCAAACAAGATTGTCTGTTGGTCCGTGTAGTAGACCGAGTGCTGCAACATGGGCTGCGAGACCCTGTGCGAGGCTATTGGAGCCTCGTGCGAGGCCTTACACACTCCACCACACTCAAGTCGATCGAGGCTTTCGTCAAATACATCAGTTCTTCACAACAAAAAGGTAAAGCTTGCTATTATCCAACTCATCTCCATTCATACTTGGCTTAAAATACCTACTTTGTATGGTCGCCATTTAATAAGAAAGTACGGTATTAAAGTATTAAAGTCGCAGCATACAAAAAATCAGAACCTAGAAAATGTTACTGGATTTATTATTCCAACGGTGACTATTTAGCAGACACTTGCTTAAATTGTTTGGCCATTGAATTAGTTGCATTTGTTTTACCCGAATAAGTTCTAACAACAATGATTGTAGATTAGATTATAAATACGAGATACCATAAACACAATATTTACACATCTTGCTCCAGGCAATTTGAGGAATTGGTTTTGTTATAATGTGTTCAAACAAGATTGTAGATTTAAGATTAATAAGATGATAAATACAAGATAGCATACAATATTAACATACATTGGCATTGACAAACAATTACTTACTCACAATATTACTCACCATGGGTTAGTAAGTTAATATGTGTACATTACTGTGTAGAGTAGGCCTACTGTGAAAGTGAGTACATTATCAAATAAATTATTTGATTTGTATTCCTTCTGCTGAAATGTCATTCAATAATATTAATTATTACTAGAAGCATTCTTTAGTGGTTTGTTTGGACTATAATTTGCTAAACTGTATTAAATATATTTTGGTTTGAGTCCTTTTGTATGAACTTAAACGTTTTCCATTACCTGGGCTTGCTAGTTTCTTAAAGGGAAAAATACACTTGAATTGCCTTCACAGAGCATCCTAAGTTAATGTCTCAAATTCTATTTTATCCCTTAGTTTAGCTACTTTCTACTAAAGTAGTTTAGGTGACATAAATACCCTGTAGCTTATAATAAGCCGTTCTATCAGTCTGACTTGATTAAAAATTGTACTATATGATGGAAATCAGTAATATACATCAGGGCACACTGTCGATAGCTCTTAACTATGTCCATTTTTATTCTAAATCCGGTAATAGCTTTTCCGGAGATGGAATGTCTTGTTCTGTAGATGGTCAAAGCAGTAACCAACATCTCCTATTGCCAGGTCTTGCATGGACGTTCTACACCCTAGATGAAGGCTCGCTAGAGTACTACTTGTCTTCACTGGCCCAGGACTCGAAGACGCTAAATCAGCATTACCTGGAGCAGAGCTTGTTGAGAGACCCAGCCTTGGCCCAGCGAGTGGTGACTAGCCTAACCAACCTGCGCAGTGAAGCTGCGGCCATTCAAGCTGTAAGTGCTTTTGACTTAACCAATTGATTTTTGATTCTCTCTACATTAGCCGGAACAAGGCCTCTACAGTGCAAGTGAGGGAAATATGGACCCTTGGTAAAGCAAAAAATAATTGGAATTGGGAGGGTTAGGCTTCAGCTACAAAATCGGCTGCGCACGGAGACAGGTAAGCGGCAAGCAGGAGCGGTAGGAGACCTGCCTTTTTATTTTTTTATTTTTTTAGGGGAGTGAAGCGAAATTCTCATACAACACTCCTGCTTTTGTTTTACAAATACTCCTCCTGAACGGCTGAAGCGATCTGCACGAAATTTAACACAGTCATAGTACCCAACCATGGGAAGGTATAAATCTGAATTTGTACAAATCTGACCACATGGCTTTTCCCTACGTGAATTTAAACTTCTAGAAATTTAACATGGGCCTTATAATTTGTTTGCTATAGTTTGTGTGCTATAGTTTGTTAACTCTCTATGATCTCAACTAATTTTTATTTTAGTTCCATAAAAATATTCAAAATGCACAACAACGTAATTGTTCTAAGAGGAGTATCTTAGGCTACAGTTTAGGTTATCATTCAAGAGTCTCGATTATGTGTTTATAATAACACAATAGGCTACATTGTAAAAACATGACAGTTAATTCAATATATTGTCTCTTTTCCTTATTATTTACTTACTGACTGCATGTGTATCTCAAGAGGAAAAACATCATTAAAGATGAGTAAGAAAACTATAAATAGTATGAACAGTGGCACACAATGTTAAAATTTACCATGCAAAATGTACTTTCCATTTCAACTGTGATATTTTTTCAGAGCATGGAAAGCAGTGTGATCAGTGAACAGGCGTCCTCCCTTGCATCACCTGTGGACTCTGGAGTTGCTTTAGTAGATAGTGACAACTCCACTGAGAATGAGGTAGGTCTTAGCATTAATCTATTGAAGGAAAATTACATAATAAGATACAGCTCTGAGCTCTGTTATCATAACCTAAAAATTTATCCTGTAACAGTGACATAACAGATTCTTTCTGTTAGACGAGCCAAATTGTTAATGTTTCCAACTTTGAAACTATATTTTTGTCATGACCCCAGAAAAAACTTTAAAGTTAAGTCTAGGTTTTTTGGAGATTATTATAGGATCCCCTATGTAAATGTAGATTAGATTTCTTTGACACCAACACATCAGGGCTTTAACCCATTGACAAAATTTTTTTTCTATGAATAAATTTGTTTAGGTTATGTCCTTTTATGTCATGTATCTCAAGACGATAATATGTACATTTTAAGCAAATAAAAATCCAAAAATGAATTATCTGTGTCCTCCTCCTCTGTACCAATGTAAAAAGAAACAATGCTGAACTACAGTAGAACTTCGATAGTTCGACACTTTGTGGACTTAAGGAATGTCAAACTATCGAAATGACGAACTATAGGGAGTAAAATGGGGTTTAATATGGAGGAAAGTCAAACACAAGTCTTATGTAGAAATCACCCAAATTTATTAAATACTAAAAAGCTTACCTACCAATTTCACTGTTCATTAGTTAATGTTCAAGTCAGCTTACATCACAATAATAAACTACAAGGAGTGTCGAACTATCGAAGGTTTACTGTACTATGTTGAACGCTTCTTTCATGCTCACTGCACTAGTATCACTGATATTAATCTTTTTCTTTATTTGAAACATGGTTTATTTAGCCAAATTATTTTATAAAACCCTATATAAGCCTGTACTAGTGTAATTTAGTTATTAACGTCTAGTTATTCCTTAAAAAGCTTGTACCGTGTAACATTCATGGTCACCCATATTTTTTTTTTACTCTTGTTAATAATTATTATGTTCTGTTGTTCTACAACTATCACAAGTCTGTGTTTTGAATAAATTAAACCTTTTTTCCACAGTTTCAGGAGTACATGAGGGGCCAACAGGGCAGTGAGTTGGGAAGTAGCATCAACACACACGTCAGCTCATCCTCCGACAATACTCTGGCAGAAGACACGACCAACGGAAACTGTAAACCAGCCGAACCCACCACGGACAATAGACAAATAACCGGCATCATGGCTCAAAACAAGCATGACGGCGTGTGCCGACGACCTCGCAAGAAGAAGAAAAGCGAATCGGCAAAAAGAGTTTCTTTCCATCAAGATTCTAATGATGACTCAGAAACCGGAGTTAGGCAACCGTCAAACATCAACAACTTCTTCGTTGAGGGTCGATACAGCTGGGCTGGAGAAGGGGACAGTTTCTTCATGAAAGAAAAGGAAAACTTTCGCCAAGTCAAGTCGGAAATTTACGAGAGAAAAGGTTTGTCTTCGAGCATTAACATTTTTGAGTCGGAGTTGGGAATAGAGGCGGACTGCGACGGAGACAGCAGCACGACTACTTTGGACGACACAAAGTACAATATCGAGATGGTTTGTGAGAAGCTGACCAATGTCGTGAAGCAGAGTCTTGGGTTGAAGACGAAGGATAGTGAGGAGTTGAGGGATAAAGAGACTGAGAAAACGCCTTTGACAGAGCGAGGCGTCCCTGAAGGCCAGGAGGACCCGAAGACGTTTTCGGAGTATGACAGGCTGCTGGGTGCACGAGGAGCGTCCACTCTTCGGTCGTCTATCGACCAGACATCAGATTCTGAATGGTCCCTGGATACTCCTGACGGACTGCTGAAAATGCGCTTCATCAGATATCCTGGTATGTTTTGGTGCAGATAATTTGAAAAAGTGGAAAAGTGCTTTCAGCTTATGGGTTTGGGTTTTAGAAGTTTGATTATTTTTTTAATAAACAAGCTAGTGGTGTGATAGTATCTTTTAAATTTTTTTTACTTCGATGTCAATTTTCTTTTACACAAAATAAAACTTACCGTTTTATGGTTCTTAGTCTGGTAAGTAGCCTAATATCCAATCATAGTAAATGCCCATCCATTGCTTTATAGAAAATCCTGTTTTAACTCTTTGTTAATACAGTATTAGCCTACTAAAGTTGAAATCGTGTTCTAAATTTTTTCATTTTCACAAAATGTGGATATAGCAGCTGGTTGCTCAAAGCAGTTATAGATTATATATTCACTAGCGGCCCATAGCATCATTGCTGCCCTTCACCTCCGTAGTAATCGTTCCTAAATACTCTCCTTCGTAAAACACTGTAGCAATACTGGACCTTAAGCTTTAAAATGAATTCTCAGCAACCATGCTACCTTTTTCCTGGCTCGTGATATTTCGTGGGGACCGATTCGCTTATGGAATTGAATATATAGATTACCACAAGACAGATTTTGGATGAACAAATAAATAGAACAATTAATTATTAATTATTAATTAATTACATTAATAACTTAAAAATAAACTGAAATTTGTGCGATGAGTGGCATGATATATAAAAAACAACCACTTTATTTGAATTGGATTATAATAGTATTGCTACCTCATAAGATAACTTCTAGAATAATTGTATTCATTTCTTTTAGCAAGTTTGGTGTACAATTATTTTTTCTACAGTGACCCGACAAAGTGGGCTTCCTCACACTGATTGTAGTACAGAAAGTTTCTAATTGCTGCATTTACTTACTTTTGCTGCACGCTTTCTTTTTGCCGCACACCAGTATTTCAACCTAACAACACAAAACTGTATACTTTTATTATGCACGTAATCCATGTACGTTTGGAAATAGGATGGCAACACTTTTAAAGATACTACGACTACGATCAGCTGTTGCAGTGTTTCCTATTTTTCGTTTAACACTTGGATTTAACCTAACCTAAAACAAGTTGTTTAGTGTTTGAAAGATTAATTATTTCTATACTTTATAATAACTGTAGGAAAAAATAATGTGTAAAACGAGTGCAAATTGCCTTTGCTGCATTCTAGAAGCTTTCCACACTCGCCTACGGCTCGTGCGTAAACATTTTTCTCGTGTGCAGTAAAGTGCCACTTCCCCCACTAGCTACACAAATAACTATTCTCAAATAAAAAATGTAACTAAAAATAAGTTGCGGTCTAAAATTTGGATTTATACAAGTCTTTTCTTTCTTTTAGGTTCTCAAAAAAGCACTCCAAGGCAGCCAAACTGGCCAGGTAGGATGTTACATGAAGCTCCATCAAAAACGTCCTTGGTCAAACGATTTCTTAACTCCATACCTACCAGAAAACCTTACAAAGACAAGAAACCAGTTGGGAAACCAACCCTTTACATAAAAGGTGTCAAACCTGACCCGGAACTTTCCAAGGAACTTTTGGAATCTTTGGAGGAAGAAATGAAGAGCATCCAGCCACAGGACGAGGGGGAGGATGAGAAAATTACTGAACCAATGCGAACTGCCTTGCAGTCTTCTGTGCTGATGGACAAAGCTGAGACCATACTCAAGGTTTGTTAACAAAATTGTTTAGATATCGTAGTTATCTTTTACTTGTTGACACAGTAAGTTGGATGTGTTTGTTTGCTCAATTTATTGTTAAAAGTTTTTAATTTCAAACGTCATTTATTTGTTTCTGCAGGTGTACCGGGTGGCGAGCACAGAAGGTGTTCCTCTATTGGCTGTGCTGACAGACTCTGCTCTCTACATGGCTGGTCTTGGACCTGACAACTCTTACTGCAGACGACACCACATCAACTACCACACGTTGGATACTGTGGTGGTAAGTGGTTTGTGGTTCCACTGATGAAAATAATTTTTTATAAACTTGAAATCAAGTTTCTCTTGGTAGTAAACTTTTATGCTTGTAATCGATTGAAACTGAAACGGTAAAATGTGCAAAGGTAACCCTACTTTTATTTTCAAATCCTCATCCACCAATTCTGGTGTTGAACTTTTAACCCTTAAAGCCTAGAACACTGATTTATTGTCAAGCAGAACCTTTGCTTTTATTTTATAAGCATACCTCAACAAAAATGGCTGAAAGCTGTACCAGAGAGTACAACAAGTGCTACAACATGGGAAACAAGCTTATTATTACACTAGTAGAGTAGGGTTTACCAGTATTGTTAAGTGTGGTACACTGTTGTTTCTGATCAATGGTGAAGTGATCACGGACATTGTCTCATTAGACAGGAGACAACACTGTCAATCATCATGGAAAATTATCATTATCGTCTACTGCGATTGTGACCAAAGTGTTAATTTGCTGATGACTAAATCCTTGCAGACATGTTCTGCGATAGTAAAAGCTCGGCTCAAGCTTAATTTTTGACACTGGGTGCATAAATTGCTGGTAGTAGCCTACCAAAAATGAAGTATTTTCTATAAAATACCTTAAGTTTCTGTAAACATCTAACCACCCAGATTTTTGACTAGCCGAATGTGTTATGGTCCCAATATCAATTGATTAGGGTGATTGAAGTTCTACTGTAAAAGAATGGTGTTTGTTTCCCAAGTAAGTAACAAACCTCTCTCATGACTGTTATTGTTGTAGTTATTAAATCTTATTGTTTTGTACAGATTGGACCTGAGTACCAGACGCTGATGCTGGTCACTATGGATCACAGTGTGACAGTGACTGTTATATCTGCTCTGGGACAATCACTAGTGTGTCACATGATGTCTCGGCTGTCTCTCTCTGTCTATCGGGCGACCAAGACTCACCTCAACGTACGACAGCTCTCTCTCACTTCCACCTTGTACAACGCATTGCTCTCTCAAGCTTCTCTCACTAAGGTATGAATGCGTTACACAACTTACTTAATTGTATTAGCATAGATTGCAATCTCCGAAGAGCTCAAGTTGCAGCCAAGTGTTTAAACGTGGTTGTTCAAGTGATTTATGAAATGTTAAGGTTGTTTGTTAGACCACCAAAGACATTATTAAACCTGGTAGTCGTAAACACACTAATCAACAAACAAAGTACTGATGGGGGCACTTCATTCATATGCTTAAGCAGCCAGTGTCATCACTGAATTCTTGATCTTCCGGTGAGAGCCTCGTCAAATCGATATTTACACTATTTACAAAACCAGACGTTTCCCCATTCTATAATTTAGCATCCTCAGTGGCAAAGGCGAGACTCAGCTTGGATCAAAACTGGACCCAGCTGTCTTTGATCACTGAGCTTTTGGTCCTGATAAAAGAAACAGCTGATCTTAGTCAGTAAAAAAGCCCCACAAGACATCTTAAGTACTCCATTCTACACTCATCCTTCACTCATATTTGGTTAAACGTCCTAGTAGCGTCTTCATCTTTTGATTGGTGATAGTAATAATTTTAGTCTGATCTCAGTCCATCTGTTTTGTTCTGCAGGACGAGACTCTCCACTTCTACAGGTATATTAGAGTAGAGGACTCGTACATGACCGGACCTCAGAGTTTAACAAGATCTGGACATCTCATGTACAGGTCACACTCTACGGCACCCTGGCTGCCTGGCTTCATACTGCTCAGGTGTGTACCTAATGGGGTTTGTAAAAATAAAAATCATACTTCAGCAAAACTTAGCTCGTATCCGATTAAAGGCTGGAGTTTAGCCGAGAAGCCGCTCGAAAACACTCCACCACTTGAGCACTCACCCCCAATGACTTTATACTTTTTATATGAGTTATCTTATGTTTTATCATTTTCAATACGATTTGTTTTTTAACTACAAGAACATTAGTGTTAGTAGATGATTTTTATTGAGATTCCTATGTTCTGAAACAGCATGTAAGTTAGGGGTAGTTTATCACTAGCAGTAGCATACTACACTTTTTACCGTTTTGTTCTTTACTTTTTTTCAATTTTTTTAGAACATTGATGGAACTATTAGTCTTTATCATTGATTCCCGTTTCCTTATTTATTATCTCCCATGTAATATGGAGAGATTTTCTACGGACTGAGCTTTTATTTTGAATTACCGAAAGTTTTGATTAATTGAGTGTTTGAATTACCAAGAGTGGACTGTATTACCTGTATTTCAATATATTTCCTGGCAGTTCCGGACTAATCTACATCTTCAGTGACGCCAGCCAGAAGTCACCGAAGCACATACTGTCTCTACACAGAGGCTACTTTGGGGGGTGTCGGAGAGTTTACAACTCCAACAGACCTCACACATTCGAGGTTCTACCCTTCGGCCAGCGAGGACTTACGGGGACATTCCAATTTGCCGCAGCCGACGATTACGAGTGCTCGGACTGGCTGCAAACGTTTTTTGAAATTTCTTCTAACGTAAGTACATTTGTTTGTGTACTGTCATGTTTTTCAAAGTATGGAACTGATTCAGATACCTTGAGGTTTGTGGAATTTTCAATTTTACTGTGTATATTTCAGATACGTTTGAAAAGATAATTTTTTCTTGTGGTAAAAGCTATATATTGGGGTATTGTAAGCTTTCAGGGTGGAAAAATTATTGTAGTGCTAGACTTCTAATCCGAACGTTGCTGGTTTGATTCCAAAAGGTAATCAGCTGCAACACATTAAGTAAGTAAAAACTCTGTCAATGGTAAAACTTGATAATCAAGCACAACTGGATATAAATACATACAGCACAAAATATGCTAAGCCACTTTCTTGAGTATAACAGCTTTCCCATTTTCCTACTTACCTATTAACCGGAGAATTAAAAAGCAACATTGTCAAATCAGCTGTTTTCTGTCTAGATGGTCGACAACAAACACGTGGTAACATGCAAACCTAACATGCCCGTTGAGGGTTGTGGATTGTTATTGACTTCTCGTCGTCTGCTAACATTGGATTTTCCCCACAAAGTGTTAGGCTGCGCAAGTTTACAAGACATTTCTGCCATCCGCACTGCTTCCACGGCCTGTATCTTGGTGGGTTAGAAATAATGATTTTTATTTTTTATCTTTATCGTTAAAAACTAAATTTTACAAATAGCCTGAAATATAAAAACTAGTAATAGTTTTTAACAATTAGTAGTTAGACAACCTTTAAAAGTAGGTCAATGTTATTATGACCAAATCTGATAATTCAGATGAGTTTTGGTCATTCCCTTTTGGATACTGAAGTAGACATCGCATCTAACTGTAGCAAACTTTTTTTTAAGAACTTAGTGTACATTCACAGAATCTGCTACAGACCTATATTCTCTAATTTTCTCTATTGTTTATAAATTTGATGATTGATGTAGTACACAAGGTTCTATAGGTTTCAGTAAGTTGTCTTTTCAGTTTGCTTGGCTAAAAAGCTGTATGCATCAGGAACATATTAAAATCAGGGCACTCTGTCGGCAGCTCAATTCAACTACTTCGATTTTCATTCTTAACTGGCTACATCTTGGTTAAATAACGTTGGAATGTAGTTGAAATGGAGGGTTTAATATATAGCTTTTCCCTGTTTTTACTTCAGGAGACCAACTGTTGTGAGGTGCAAGGCAGTGGTGGAGACTGGATACTATATTTCCTCACTGACCAGGCTATCACGGAGTTTCTGGACGCCCTGTACCAACTTCGGCCGGAACTGAAGCAGGTGTGTGATTACTGATTAATGACTAAGTAGTTGAGTAGTACGAGAGCTCATTTTCTTTTAAATGCAGTCGATAGAATTTAGAATCCTTGCCTAGGAAGTCAAGTTTCATGGGAGGTTCCAAATTTGAACCTTCATCAGATTTGTTATTTGTTCATTAATTTTTTTTATTCCTTCAGTCTCGGATTTACTGGGATTGTTGTCTATTGGTGGGAATAGTTGGGATTGGTCGCCATTGTGATGTTTTATATTATTTTTACCATACTGTGAATGTTTACAATTACGATAAAAGTGTAGATATTTTAAAAAGGTTTGGTTGACATTTTTATAAAATTTGTATCCCGAATTCAAAAACTGTTTCTTCTCTTCATAGTAAGTTTTTATAAGAATCAACAAATGTATCAATTTAAGTATTTGCTTCCTGCTGATTAAACTCCAGCAAAGATACCTTATAGCATTTGATGGTTCTGAACTGCACCAAAGCCATCCTTGATTGTTGGGTTTTAATAGATTATCCTGGTTAAGAAGGTACACTTCATTTGATTTCATCTTCCAACTATACGCAGCTTAAAATATCTCAACATTGTGTCAACACTGTCTTATACACTTAATGAAATTATTATAAATATTATTGCTTCCGTAGAGGTTCAGTAGTTATTTTAAGGTCTTAATGAAAAGTACTTCCTCAAACCAATCCAAAAATTAACTACATTTACTGAAATAGTAAATTTTTAAGCGCTTAGGAATTTGTAAAACTTATATTTTCCGATGACTAACAGGCATCAGTGGACACATGGGAGAGTGAAGTACTACACAGACATTGTCTTCAGACGAGTCATTCTGTGCGAACTGCTTGGGACCCGCTGTTAAGGCCTTCTGTGAGTATATTCAACTTGCACATAGATAACTAGTTGATAGTAACCTAACTGTAAAGGTGATATAGGTCTATAGCATTCGTGAGTTGTTTTCTCGGACAGTAGAGCGAAAGACTACACCTGAGGCAGTGACGTAGCTTCGCATCCCTGAGTCTTCTAAAGACCTATATGAATGAGCAAATTCAAGGTTAAAAGAGGCCGCCAAAAACTAAAAATACCAACAACGAAATAGATTTTTTAGGTGGGACAACATCTGGTTCTTAAGTATTTTGGAACAAAAGTAAATCTCATGAAAAGACAGTCATGAAGATATTTTAATAATAGGTTAATTCAAAATACTAGGAATTCAAGTTGTATTTTGTCCCTTGGCAATCTTATTGGCTCTCTTAATGTGTGGCCAGTTATACTCGTCTTTTTACACAGCACCTCAAATAGATTACAATTTGACAGGAAAGCAGGCTTACCTTTAAATAAGTCCATAGAGACACATAAAACATCACAAAATTAAAAGTAGAAATTTTCGTGGTCACTGACCACTTTTTCAACCACTGGAGATTGGAGAAAAAAAAATATATATTTTTTTCTCCAATCTCCAGTGGTTGAAGACCACGAAAATTTCTACTTTTAATTTTGTGATGTTTTATGTGTCTCTATGGACTTATTTAAAGGTAAGCCTGCTTTCCTGTCAATTTCCTTAATAATTCCTGGCAAATGCCCTATCTTTTTATAAGATAGATTACAATTTGGTTGTTGTTCCCTCAGATAACGCTCGGAAAGCATGTAGTTATATAAAAAACAAATATGTTTTATAAAAAAATATGTGTGATTTTTGTAATTAAACTGCATAGCTAAGGGGTGGTACCTAAATAGGGATCAATTGAAAGGCTTCAAATGACAATAAGACATTTTACTGTAAGTAAATTAAAACTTTGACAAACTTTTTTAACTTAACTTTAGATTACTACAAAAAAAAAAAACCAACAAAAATTTGTTACTAGTTAGTACAAGGCTCGTAGATACAAAGAAATCAGAGTCTCATTCCATATCAACCTGACAACACCCAGATTGCATTTTCGTTTTACTTATATATATACATTTTCTTTCAGGTTTTAAAGCAAAACAGTCGGTGAAGACATCATCCCACTGGTTTTGGGTGTCAACCCTACATAGCTTAGAATTACCTATTACCTACCATTTTATAATGCTAAATGCTACGTTATTTTAGTTACTTCAATACTGTGATATGCATTTTATTTGTTAGCTTTGTAGGTCTATTGAGTGTTAAGCTTTTTAATGTGAATACACTAACAGTTAAAAATCTTATTGTAGAAGTATCTAATAAATCATTTTACAGTTCACGTTGATACACAGTTGGTAGATAACTCTGTTAGCTTCTTTTTAGTAATTTTTTTTTTATTGTTTTAATATATCTATAATCCTGTCCCAAGCTCAAGCCTTAAAGGAGTAGGTTTTCCACACAACATGTAGGCTATAATTTTAAAATAGCAAATTGTAATTTTTATTTTTATTCAATTCACATTAAAATAATATCACAACTTGTCCACCATTAACTTATAGTTTTTTTTTTTTTTTTATATCCGTATTTGAATAGCTCATTGTCAAAGAGCCCCTTAAATGTTAGTGTTTAGTATTTATTGAATTTAAAATTGTCCTACAACACACATTTAGATATTTTACGTGAGAATAGTTTTTTTGTCTGTATGTGTTAGGTTTTTAAAATCCATTTTTATTTTGCAAAGACAAAGACTTATCTCTGTTACGTTTTTCCAAATAGCATTTAAATTTGGAATACAAACCTAATATTCATTGTTGGCAAACTCATGTCGTTTGGTAATAATGTACGTTTGTTGCACTTTTAAGTTGGTACTTTGGTTCAACGATAGCCTATAGCTTAAAGTTTAAATCAGTGAAGTAGACAAACCTCAAAACTAGTAAGATTAGATAAAATTATTGAAAACGTTATGAAACATTCTCAAATGTATTTTAATTCAACTGTTTTCAAAATTAAATCTATAAGTGCGATTAATAATAAAGTTACAACACTTTCAATGTATTGAATATAAATAATTTGCTCACTTCATGTTGTTACTCTTAACAACTCTTTGTGGAAAATTTAAGAAAGACTAAAATTTGCTTGTATTAATTGATACAATGAATTCCAACATTTAAAAATCTGAAAATCATTGCATTCAATTTAAATCAATTTAATGCCAGGATTCTTTTGCATTGATTTACTTGAATTACAATGTAGAGTCTAGATAGCACACTAATCCTTTAATGCAATGCCGTAAAGAATTAGCTTTTTTGTCCTAATTGCAGTATTGTATAGTACTCTTATGAGTGAAAAAGCTTTTTAAGAAAATATTTTTGTATTTGAGAAAAAGAGCTTGAAGAATTTCTTTTTAGCTGTTGAGGCAATAATTTATATTTTGATGAACAACTTTAAATCAGTGTTAGTGGATGTATTTGAAGCAAGAACATGAGGATCATATCTATTTATTTAATGATTTTACAACTGTGTATATTTTTTTAATTTATTAATGGTGGCTTCCACACTAGAAATATTTTTGTTACCTTACATTGGTACTTTTACTTGTGAGTGGTTTTTAACATGTTTTTTGAGATAATTTGTTAATTGGTTACAAAAAGTTAACTTAATTTTAAGGTAAGTAAACTACCAACAAATCTAGTCAAATTTCAAAAGTGCTATATTTTAATACTTTTTAAAATATCAATCTTCATATATACATGCCTTTAGATTTTGTCAAAAACACATTTTCTCCTCTTAAGTTGTATGAAATATTTCATAGTTCAATTGTTTATAGTGTTCATGTAATCAGCATATGAAGCATATAAATTATAGCAACTGCAAGGGCATTATTACTGATAATTTTATATTTATCCGTATTAAAATACTTCAAAAAAATAAACGTGTACCCCTTATACAGCATAATCAAACAATTGTATGTGATATTCCTAGTATATTGTGTTAAATTTGTTTAAGTTTAGGTTGTACTTTTGTTTTAATTAATGCTATTATTTGTTTAAAATATTAGTAAAAATAAAATCTACATAAAATAAATTGTGATTTATATAACCACTTAGTAACCTGTTTGTGTTTTATTAGTTTTATGCCATTGACATTCCGTCATATTTGTTTTTGTGTTTGAATGAAGCTGGTCCAAACCCTGGGCTCGTTACGATCTAACGAATTGGTTTTGTTGTCAAATAATGACTGGGATATGAAGGTATAATAGTTAGAAGTGTAAACGAACACAGAAAGATTATTTATATTGTGGAAATAGAGCAGAATCTTAATCTATGTAGAAATTAGTCAATGAGTGGAATGTCTTTTTTATTATTTAGCTCTATGAATGAATATTTACTTTTTACCCCTATTTATAGTATACATCATGGAGAAAGTATTATTTTTATCAAAAGTTTGAGTTTTTGTCCCCTGAACCCAAAAAAGTTATTTTCGAGATGATGTCTGTGTGTGTGGATGTGGACAGAGCTACAGACCACACCTGTGGTTCGATTTTCATTTTTGGTATAATGCACCAAATAAATACTTGTAATTACCATGTTTAAAGTACAAGAACTACCAAATGTCTGACTTTAGTGGTTTTTAAACTAAGCTAATTTTAACTCAAAATTCAATATTGAACATTGAATCTCATACCGTACCAAAAGACTTTTTCAGTAGTTTAGTCACCTAGAAATGGTCATATACAATCCATAATATACATGGTATACAACCCTTTTGGGATACAAATAACAAAACCATCACATCTAAACTATTTATTCTTACAAAAATCAGACAAAATTACACAAAGAAACAAGGACTCTTAACTGTTAACAGTGGTTTCCAAACTTGAATGAAGTTTGATGAGTCTTCAGTATTGTCTCATCATACCCCCGCGTCTCATCATCGGAGGATTCATACGAGTGGGCGGACTGATGCAAACATCCATGTAGTCTCCTATGGTGAATCTGGAAAAAACAGACATTCAAATTGAGTTGATACTAAAAGAACATTAAAATAATGGTTGAAATTGTTATCACAATCCATGGCATGAATCATGTTAGGTTTAAAGAGCACAGACACACAAAGTAAGAGAAAACTTTGCATGTAGGCCCATCATAAGTTCTAGTTTATATTAACCGCCTTTGTAGCACACTATTACATGGGGAAAGCCAGCCATCACCTATCCTTCACAAAGAATAAAGTCAAGCCGTGTTTACAAGAGACCAGTAGGCAGGCAGGTTTAAACTGATAAGGGAATAATTCCAACTTTACCTTCATTACAAATCATTCTTAAACTATGATTCAAATTTTTAATTCTCAAAAAACTTCTTGATCAGCATTTTACGAGTGGCTTAACCCATATGATCAACCTCACTTCCAACACTGATACAATTACAATGTAACATTTAATTGTTTTGTAAATTGAACTTAATTTTCTAAAACGTAAATATTTATATTTACTAGAGAACCCGTGCGGCTCAATGAGCCGCATAGTATGAAACATAACGCCGAGGAAAACGTCATGCTTAAATTCGAGTAATTCTAGTTAGGCCTACATCTTAGAGTTGTTTAAATACTTGTTAGAAACTAATTTTAAATATCTCTATTTGCGTCGTCAATATTCACCTGCATTATTTCTGCTCTCAGTTTTAACTGATAGCTTCTAATGAATGCTAAACGATCTGCTTCAATTCGAGCGACCATGTTGCAACAAAGATTTTCCAACATTGAGAATTGAAGAAAACTGTTGCCTAGACATCCCCCTAATCAAACGAATTTTCTCCGTAGAGAATCCTGAACGTTCGGGTGATATCAACCATTTAATGTGCTCCATTTTTGACCCACAAACTCTGGGTTATCAACTGGAAAGCCGTAATCTGCTTTGAATACAGGCTAAAGCAGCAACACCATTGATAGTTTGTTAACGTATTTTAACGTGTTGTTTTTGCATCAGAATGTCCTCACGTTGTTCAGTGGGGTTTCTCTTAATACCTGTCCCAAAGTTTTGAAAGTATGGATTCATTTGTCGAAATAGGTTGGATAACTTTTGTAGCTATAAGATTTGGATAGCAATTTTCATTTTCTCTTTTTGAACAGGGTATATTATTTGCCTCTCCTGAATCATAAAGATAAACTTGACTGTAACTACTCGATCGTTGAATACATAGGCTAAACACTAAGTCCTTCACTTATTTCTAATATTGCCACTAAAATTATTATGGTTTCTAATAAATGTTTTGAAATATCTCGATCCGTCAGTGGCATAGCCTAAGTAAAATTTCTTGCATACATTCATTTGATATGACATTATAGGCAAGTTTATTTTACAACCGTGACAACACGGCTTCGTATGTGCTTCGTATATTTTTTCACTTCCAAAGTAAGTCGCATAGCAGAACTGGCAAATATTATTCATCTCACCAAGTGCATGTGTATATGGATGTGTATCTGTTAGATCAGATATATCTTTCTCTACTCTCCTCATACGCATAAGATACCTTATTATTAATTGTCTCCTCCTCCCGTTTTCAATATTTCTTCTTTCAACTTGAGGCATTTTCCGTTCTTCCAACAAAACTAATTAACTGTTTAACTTTGTCTTAACCTACTGAATATTAAAACATTAATATTTACTTCCAAAAAGCTAATGTGTTTCTTTTTATAAACAGCTGTATTTTGTTTTTAAATTTGTTCAATGTATTTCTTATGGGGAAAACCCGACCTTTGAGAGGGTCTCACGCCCTTAAGAATAGAAATTTTAAAGTTCTAAAACCTTATTGCAAAACTACATATTGAGACGAATCTTTTGACACCTTAAACGTTGAAATTGGTCCGCAAATAAGGGAGGAGTTGCGTTAACAAAATACGGCTTCACGTATTATATATATAGATACTAAAACTTATAATGTTTTAACAATAAATTATGGTTGACAAGTGTAAAAGATAATAATGGCAGGTTGATTTTGGCCAGTTTTCAACAGGCCCAATCAGAGAAAAAGCAAGAGAGGATTAGAACCTCCAACACAGTATCCCTAGCTAGGGAGATTGGCTTAGATTGATCGGTTATTAATCAGACATAACAATACTGAGGACCTATTCATAGATAATTGAAAAAGAATTTTTGGTTTTGTTAGCCTTCATTACTGATGTGTCTTAAGAGCTCAAAGTATGAGGCCTGAATAGGTTTGCTAGATGATTTGCAAATATTTATATAATTGTATTTATAAAGAATCAACAAACCTTAGCTGTGAAAGTGTTTTTGGATCATCAGGCCCTTTCTGGCCAGAAATCGTGGTCCCGACATCTCTAAAGCGATATCCAGGAGTGGTAGGGTTTGGGAAAACCAAAGCAAAATCAAACATGGTTCCTTTTCTCCTTGCTTCTGGATTGACTTCTTTCACCAGGCTTGTTATCTCCCTCAAAGTGGCATCCATCCTAACATTGGAAGTTACATAAATAAAAAAATCAATTGAATTATTATAATGCACCTCGTGGATTGTGCATAATAGGCTACGCTACTTAGCTAATATTTTATTGTGTAATTAACTGTTTTTAAAGAACACAGTTTGAGTGAAAAAGTAGTTAGGTGCAAAACTTGCTAAAGGGTCAATTTTAAATTGAGGCCAAATACCATATGTAAAAAAAAAAAAAATAAAAATAAGATATATTGTTTGTAACAAACCTTGAAGTGTTCCTTATTTACCCTAGTTTACACCTCATGTAGCAGCAGAGCTCAATCTTCATGGTAATGTATATTTTTTTACATTTTTTCCTTGTAGGTACCTGAAATCATGTCTCCTCGCTGACGGGATAAAAAATATAGATTTTATACATAATTTCAAAAGTTATGTAGCAAAATATGTATCATTTTGATAGTTTATGTTATTATAAAAACAAATGTAAACAAAAAAAAATAAAAATGTTATTATAATATGCTAAAAAAGTTTAAAAGAATTGTTGAATTACGAAAATTGTAGGAAAAAAATACCAAAGTTTGCTAAAAAATGCTAAAATGAAATAACTATTATTATTATAAACCACATGATTGTTTTGTGATCATGATTAGAATAATGAAAAACACAAACCCAAACAAATATTTTCATTATTTTTAAGTTTCAATAAGGAAAAACAAAATCATCCGCGAAGAGACAAGTGTCGGCGAGGAGACTAAAGCCGTCTGCGAGGAGACTAAAGCCGTCTGCGAGGAGAAGAAGGAAGTATGAAGTTTACTGAAAACGTCAGCTATTGAAATATATAACCTGACAAAAAGTAATATTTAATAACAACACAAACTTGTAATATAATTATACAGTATAAAAGTACAAGTATACAAAGAGTGTCAGCTTTTGAAATAACAAAAATACAATATTTAGTCACAACACAAACTCATAATAATTAATAATTATATGGACTGTTCTTCAAGAGGAAACAAAGTCTAGATTTACTGAAAACGTCAGCTATTAAAATATGTAACCTGACAAAAAGTAATATTTAATAACAACACAAACTTCTAATATATATACAGTATAAAAGTACAAGTATACAAAGAGTGCCAGCTTTTGAAATAACAAAAATACAATATTTAGTCACAACACAAACTCATAATAATTAATATTTATATGGACTGTTCTTCAAGAGGAAACAAAAGTCTAGAACAAAACAGGTTTTTCAAAGTTGAAAAACAGACGGTCTCCCTGGAAAGTCATTTTAGGTGTCGGCAGAATTCCCAAAATCTCATCACAGCTGATCCATGAAATGTCACTTGGGTTAGGTTGAAAAATCTTGTTGTCGTTCGTTTTTAAGAACATCACTTCTGCCTCCCTGTCGTCAGATACCTCTCTTTGGATTACAGCTACATAGTTTTTTTTATTTTTATTCCCCAGATTGAAGCTTACAACTATGAACACTTCGGGTTTCAAATCATGGTAGTCAAATTTTGAATCGTAAGTGATGTTGATGAGTTCTTTAGGCTCATCTTCCTCTGAACTGGAGTAAATATCTGAAATTCTAAGTTTAATTTTTTTTTGTGTTTTTTTCACTTCAGGCACTTCAAGCAAGGGACCGATTGTGTTGAAATGAAAATGTCCACATTTATTGTCACACTTGAAACAAGACATTGTTCGTCCGTACATATTTGTTCCATTCCATAAGAGCTGACGTATTTTCATCATTCCCTTGATTGGAATCAATTTTTGTGGAACTAGTTTTTTGAACTTTTCTATTTCCGAGCTAGCCACTTCAACTACATGAGTAGAGCTAGTTTTGAAGGCATTGGTCAAGTCTTTCGCACACATAATATCTAAACCATGTAAAACTAGGTCGTCAGCATTTCTTTTTAAGGACCCTCCAACCCCGTCCATGGCCCCTTTCCCATGGCCGGCTTCCATGAAGTTCCAAGAAAACTTACTGATTGATTTAAAAATCGTCAGCAAGCGTTCTCTCATGAAGTATACATTTGTCTTATTTCTGTATTGTGAGGAGGGGCTGTCCGAAAAAAAATACACAGTGTGTGTTTTCGGAAAATCTGTTGCAGCCTTTTCCAAAATGGGCTCTAAATGTGCCCAAACGGCATATGCCATGTGATCTATGTTGTCTGAGTTGGTACAAAAAGATTGGCATTTGATTTCGTTGCCATTCCTGTAGTGCATGACTCCTGTATGTAAGGAGATTTGGGACTTGGAAGCACCGAAGTGCATACTCTGTATTTCAGTGGAACACTTGCTAACATAATTTTGAGAGAAATCGATCTGAAATACCAGTTCTCCTTCCTTAAGATTCTCTAACACAGAGTTGAGTGCATCCCATTGATGCTTCATAGCATAGATGTGTTGTTTGAATTCAATGATTTGCTCCTTAAACATTTTTATTACTTCGTCAATAGGGTACTCTTTTGTGAATTTCACAACTTTCTTTATTTCTTTTTCTTTTCCCCTTATCATTTTCTTCTCCGTTTTATTCATCCACTGACTTAACTTGACCACCTGATCAGAATCTTCATCAAAATAAACTTGATTGACAATGCATTTCTTACATTTTCCAAACATACAGTTTTTGTTTCTTGTGGAACAAACTAATGACTTAACTACTTCATGGGCGGTTTGGAATACAATTGCCTTGGCTTTAGACAAAGCATTGACAACAAATTCAATATTGTCATGTTTTGAACATGCGCATGTTTCTCTGTCTCTGGGCTTAGGTTTTTGAACCCAAAAAGGACGAGCCAGAGTGAAGGTGCTATAAGAAATTGTTAAGTTTGTTTCATCAACAAATCTCTTGTGAAGATTTTTCAGTGAGTCTAGTAGAACTCGACGTTGCATTTTTATATTGCGTTTTTTAACAAAGTCTTTCTTTCCAGGCATCATCTTGGAAACTGTATCGTTCAAGTAGAACTTTCTAAGGGCCATTGCTTCTTTTACAGAAACTGTTGAGTAAGTCTTGCGATCAAATTTTAATTCACCATCTACCATCTTCTTATTTCTATCATACGAAACAATAGACGTGAACTGTTTTTGTACCCTGTATTTTCTGAGAATTTTTGTTCCAATGACTTTAGCCATTATTTGGCGTTCTTTAGATTTTGGTTTGCTTTTTTCTATTGATGATTTTATTTGTTTTTCAAGAACGTATCCTGCAAATAGTCTTTTTTTTATTTTTGGAGATATTTTTTCGGATCCTACAAGATGTCTTACTTTCTTGCAAGGTGAAGGTGAATTTTTGTTCTTATTTTGCTCCCTATAAAGTCTTTTTTTATACTTTTCGACCTTGGAATTTAGTTTTTTATTTTCTTCTTTCAGCTTTTTTAGTTCTTTATATGCTTTTGCCCGGTCTCTCCGGGCGACCTTTCTTCCTTTTTGCCTTTGCCGTGAACTTGTGTTCATAACTGGTAGGCCTATATTATCTTCTGTGTCACTGTTAGGTGGGGTATTTTTCAACGCAGATTCTTCTTCCTTTTTTTTCTTCCTCAGCGCTGCCTTTCTTTTTTTCCAGATTTTTCTTGACTCTTTTCCTTTTCAGTCATTTCTCCAACCAACTTGATTTTCTTTTCTTGCTTCAGCCGATGGTACCTCTCTCGGTCCCTTTTCCTCTTCTCTTCTAGTTTTTCTTCAGACAGATTGGCTTTGTATTTCCGATTTCTAGCATTTGCAAGTTCTCGTTCTCTTCTGTATTTTTTCGCTTCCTCTGTAGAACTTTTCTTTTTTATTTTTCCCATGTTTCATGGAAGCTGAAAATATACAAAAATGCAACAACAAAAAAAACTAAAACTCTTACGTAAACTTTTCATACTAAATAGCCACACAAAACAGAATATATTACTTTCATAATACATAACTGAAAAGAATAAAAATTAAAAATCGAGTGTAATTACTGTAGGCTAATTTGAGTTATAAGGAAATTACGGCAGTGATGACTTAATTGATAATCAAATAGCAATTAAAGTTTTAAAGTTATTGAACTGAATTTACTAATAAACAATCAGATGTTTACTTTCAACTACAAGGTCGTTACCATTGCACATTACATTACTATTACAATTCATTTATAAAAATAAATTCCTTTGAATCTTTATTACTTCTATGAAGGTTTTCATTCTTAATGTGATCAAAATTCACTAAACAAATTCAGTATAACATAAAAACATAGCTTTAACGTTATTAAAAGTCTACTCGCTGACAGCATTATTCCCTTCGCCGACGTCGGCTGGTCTATTCACAGACGTCGGCGAAGAGACTGTCTTTACGGCGTCGTCTGCGAGGAGACAGTCTGCGAGGAGACATTCTGTCACGTTTTCCCGCTAAATCCACAACGACGCATATTTGACCCAGCAAACTTTGAGGTTAGGTATGGTTTTACAACGGCTTCTTACACCGGTAAAAAGTTATCTGTTGTTTTAAAATAATACATCTATAAATTACCGTCGGCGAGTAGACCAGTATTTAATGTACTGTGATAAATATTTACCTGAATTAAGTTTTAAAAGATGATACAGCAACACAACACAACAATAACTACAGTAAGCTCTAATTTGGACCAAGACGACTCATGATACCTGGAACAAGGAACGCTGGAACTGAATTTCTTTTTTTGTGGCTCTCTGCAAAAAAAGGTTGCTTATCTAAAGGGAATTCTGGGGACATACAAAAAACACAAAATAAATGTTTTGTTTTGAAATAAATTTTATTTATTTGTACTATTATTAAAATAGATTAGAACTTGAAAAATCATTTCTCCTTTTATTACAATTCAAGGATTTGAATTTCTCTTTAAAATCTTTACTCATATTGTGAGCTAGTGGTTGGGGACCGTCGGCGAGGGGACAAAATTAGACTTATAACAATTATAGATAATTTACTGGTTATTATTTTTGTATTTTATGGACCTATCTAATTACTTAATGTAACTTTGCTTATTCCTAGCTAATTGTAATTTTTATTGACATTTTAATAAAAAAGTTACTGGCCAGGGAATAATTTTCGGTCTCAATTTAAAAATGACCCTAAAACTCTTGTTTAAAGTCGGATTGGCTGGTTTGCAAACTCAACATTAAGATGTTGGTTCACGTTAGGCCTAGGCCTAGTTAAAATTCAATAAATATTGAGAGAATCATCCAGTGGCGGATCTAGAACAGTCACAAGGGGGGGCGGTCTGGGGGGTTCGGGGTACCCCCCCTGAAAAATTAGTGTAAACTAAGTCTCCAAAATGGCAGTTTTATACCATTTCTTTGTTCAAAGCTAGTGTGACAAATTATTTGACACAATGTGTATGCACTACTGTATTACATGTAGTAAAAAAAATATATTATGTATGCACGAGGAGGGGGCGGTCACCCCCTTCGTCCCCCCTCTGGATCCGCCACTGGAATCATCTCGAATCAGAAATAAATGTAGACAAATATTTAAATTACAAAATAAAAAAATAAGTTTGTTTTATTTGGCCTAGGAACCCAAAAATAAAAAAAAGTGTAGGGCAATAGGCTAATACAGGAAATTTTAAAACTGCAAGTTAGTTAATTAAAGTATCTATCTTCCTACACAAATTAACCAAATAATGATTTACTTTGCTCACATAATCTAGGCCTAGCGAACTTACCATGTATAAATTTGGAGTTCATTTGCAGGTACGTTGCCATTCCTGTATTCCTGTGAGTTATTGTGCCTTCCATTGCAACAGAATACTCTTAGCAGTAACGGGCAAGTCTAAAACGTAAATTACATTATTTTTTGATTTTTCAGAGTGGCAGATTGCGTGTATATAAATAAATATATATGTACTTACTGTCTTCGTAATCCTTGTTTGGTTATGACACTACGGCCGTTTCAGAGATTAGGCCTACTCTATCGTCGGTTGTAGTCGTGGGTCATTCCATAACAAATCAACTAGGCTCTCAACCTGACCATCTTGAAACAAAACCCCCCAAAAACAAAGCAGAGTACAAGAGCAAAGACAAACACAAGAGCAAAGTTAAACACTAGGCCTATCTTAAATTTTTTTTCAAAAACATATTTTGAAATTTAAAAAAAATTAATTTTTACCAAAGTAGGTTGAGTTTGGTATCAGATTAAAGGCATTTGAATCCTCTTTAAAATGAGCCATTGTACAACTTGATAGGAGCAATAGAACTCATCCTAGATAATATTTTAGATTTGCGCGCACGGTAATAAACGCCAATTTTTACCATTTTGAAATATTTTTATTATAAAAAAATATGAAAGATAGATTTAAAAAAAAAAAACATATTTGGATTCTGGACTCAAAATACTAAGTTACTAGTATGCAAAATTTCATCAAAATCCAAGATGGTCAGGTTGAAAATCATTTTGGTTAATATGCATTTTAGGGTTTGCACGCGATTTTTGAAATTTTTTTTTTTATTCTACTCGAAATTTAAGGGGATACGCCACTATCTGTAGGCCATATTTTAAATTTTTTTTACATTTTCCAAAAGTTGCATTTTTAGATAGGTCATTTAAATGTGAACATTTAGCTAAAATTGTTTGCCAATCTGACAACTCCTTCTAGTATAAAAAAAATAAAATATAAAACGCCGTAACCAGCAATTTAACACAATTTTGAACTATTTTTTTTGTTCCTGATATGTACATTTTTAATTGTGTATCATAATTATGTATTATGAAGGTACTAGCTGTTATACCCGTGCTTTGCAACGGGAAGAGGACACAAAATAGAAACATTTTAATCTTTACATCTGTTGCATATAATAATTACACATCCGCCAACGATTTTAGAAACAAAATTCAACTTTAATAGCCTTAATAGAAACGTTTAAGTTATGACTTTTAAATCTGGTAAGTAGTGGATACCACCATTTTGGTTTTGATTAATTTTAAATCTTGTGTAGGCTGATATGAGAAAAACTGACCAAATCTTCGAATAAAACATTGACATACATGATTTACCTTCATCTTACATATATTTTAATTTATTATTGACATTTTAAATTTCAATTTTGAAGTTGCAAAAATACTAATTATTAAATTTAAATGGATTTTTTTTTTAATTTCACTCTTCTTTATATTAAATCACAAATTCTTTAATCTTCATTTTCTTCACTCACAATAAATCTTTAGCAAAACTAAGTCAGCTGTTATAAACTTTAGAAATATTGCTGTGCCTTATGAATACAGTCTTTTGAAATATTAAAGAAACTATATCTATAGATACTATAAACAATTTTGAACAAATAATTTAGCATTAAAGACAGCAGACAATACTAATATGATTATTAAAGCATCAAGGACTAAAAAATGTAATACAAATAAAAAAATTCAAATACAGTATAATTATGTTTCATTGCATCTCTGATTCTACTCTACAAAAATATCAACAAACAACTTAATATACAAACTCGTTCTTTTAATCAGTTCCATCGTCCATTGCCTTTACATTTTCACACTTACCATTAAGTAAACATAGTAACATATATTTAATTGATTTTAGAAACAAAAGAACACTGTGTACTGCTTAGTTTTATGATATTTTCCTTGGTTTAATTTAATCAGTGGTGTGGCAAACCACAAATAATAAATGTATCAAATAAAGTAAATGTGAACTGAAAGCTATGTTAAGATAAAATAAGATTATTTTGTATTACCAGTTAATAATAAAATATAGTTACACATATACAACAGATTTTAGAAAACAAAAATTAACGACGTACAATTTAGTTATTGATGATTTTCTTTAGTTTAATTTAAGCATAGGTTTAGCAAAACACAATAACTTAATTTACCTAAATATAGGCCTACATATAAAAACAATGTGATGTGCAAGTTATATTAAGTTAATCTAACACATGTTAAGCGTAGCCTCCAAATTCATACAAAACATCTATACTTTGTAATTTTCATACTGTTTCCATGAAAACATATCAATAACATTATTTTCTTAACTTAGACGCTTTAAAAAATCCAAAGCAGAGCCGGAGTTGACACAGCAACGGTTATATAATCTTTTTTTTATAATCATTGACATAGTTTTTGAATAAATAATCCACGATAAAAGGTTAGATTAAAATAAACCTACCTCATAGTTATGGAAAATATTACATTTAATTTCTTTGTATGTATCAGCTGTCTGAAATTGTGAAATGTGCAGTTTAGCAGTTCTTCTGGTTTACATTAAAATGTCAAAGCCCAAAGCGAATGTAAACAAACATTGTTAGTGTTCTCATCACAGCCATGGAGACCAATCAATATTTACTTTTAAAATGTTCACGTCAGAACTTTTAAAGCCAAAGGGGCAAAGCCTACGGTCAGTATCGAAATGTGAATAGTCCTATAAGGGTCCTTGGTATGGTAGCTATATTATTGTAAAATTTAAGCCCAGTTGATTCAGTAGTTTTTGCACCTATTAGTAATACACATACAGACAGACACCATTAGATTTTTATATAATAGTATAGATAAAGTAGGGTACATTTATTTAAAACAAAATAAGTACTTTGCTATTTTCATATATAATATAAAATAATAAATTAGTGTAGTTATGGGAATTTTTCTCCTGCCAACCACCTGTTACATCACCTGCGATTATCTCAATACCGTGTTTTTTAGGTTATTATTGTACAAATGTTTGAATAACTCCGTTAGTACTATACTTATAGTATTCAAATTTTCACCAGACCTTCTTTATATAGTAATAAAGGAGTGTGTGTATAGTAAGCCCCATAGCATTACATTTACTAAAAATATTTATGTTTACGCAAAAATTTTAAATATTTTTTTCAGCTTTTTTATATTTTGAATAAAAGGTGTCCTAAAAATTTTGTTTTTTTAGTAACCATAACGATTATACACAGAATTACTCATTATTTCATCCTGAATCAGGAAATAAATTGAATATGTCATTCCGATCAGTAGTTGAAAAGTTATTCTCAATAACAACTTCTTAAAAATTTTGGTGAAAAAAACCAAAAACGCATATAAATTTAGTAAATAACTTATAAATTCAATATTTTTGTACCTAAATCTTCTAACTAAGTCTAGTATAAACAAAATATACTAACTAGGTTGACAAAAATAAAATAATAAAAAAAAAGTTGGAGATAGTGGCGTATCCCCTTAACGCTGATTCCGAAAATGACGTTCTTTTTCCGCGGAAAACGACCATAACGCGGAAAAACGACCAAAACGGCAAAAAAACCTTTTTTACCAAAACACGTCATGTGAGTACTCAAATTAACCGGAATATTAAGCAGATCACGACTATGCAAGAATTTTTTGGATCCGAGGTCAAATAAGCGAGATTTTCACGAAAACGTGATACTACCAGCAATAACTCCAACTCACTAGGGGACAGGTGGGAATTCGGGGTTTTTAGGTTAGGTAAGGTTGGTTAGGTTAGGTTAGGTTGGTTAGGTTAGGTTAAGTTAGGATGGTTAGGTTGTTTACGTTAGTTTGGTTAGGTTGTTTAGGTTAGGTTAGGTTAGGTTAGGTTAGGTTGGTTAGGTTAGGTTAGGGTAGGTTGGTTAGGTTAGGTTGGGTTGGTTAGGTTAGGTTTGGTTGGTTAGGTTGTTTTGGTTAGGTAAGGTTGGTTAGGTTCTTTAGGTTAGGTTGGTTAGGTTAGGTTGGTTAGGTTAGGTTTGGTTGGTTAGGTTGGTTTGGTTAGGTAAGGTTGGTTAGGTTGTTTAGGTTAGGTTGGTTAGGTTAGGTTAGGTTAGAATAGGTTAGGTTAGGTTAGGTTAGAATAGGTTAGGTTGGTTAGGTTAGGATTGTTAGGTTAGGTTTGGTTAGTTAGGTTGGTTAGGTTAGGTTAGGTTGGTTAGGTTGTTTAGGTTAGGTTGGTTAGGTTAGGTTAGAATAGGTTAGGTTGGTTAGGTTAGGTTGGTTAGGTTAAGTTGGTTAGGTTAGGTTAGGTTGGTTAGGTTAGGATTGGTTAGGTTGATTAGGTTAGGTTGGTTAGGTTAGGTTGGTTAGTTAGGTTAGGTTGGTTAGTTAGGTTAGGTTATGTTAGGTTAGGGTAGGTTAGGTTAAGTTAGGTTATGCTTAGTATCATCCCTTTTACTTGTTATTAAAACATAAACAATTATAATAAAATAATGACCAGCTGATCCTGATCAGCTGGTATTTTAACACAGACAAAAGTTGGAGCAAAAATCCAAAATAGCATCGCATATTTACGTGAAATTCTTGCTTATTTGACCTCGGATCCAAAACATTCTTGCATAGTCGTGATCTGCTTAATATTACGGTTAATTTGAGTACCCACATGACGTGTTTTGGTAAAAAAAGTTTTTTTGTCGTTTTGGTCGTTTTTCCGCGTTATGGTCGTTTTCCGCGGAAAAAGAACGTCATTTTCGGAATCAGCATTAAATTTCGAGTAGACTGAAAAAAAAAATTTCAAAAATCGCGTGCAAACCCTAAAATGCATATTTATCATAATGGTTTATTGGTTGATTTAATATGGAATGACCCTGATACACTAATCTAAAATACTGTTAAGTAAAATACTGTGTGCAATTCTTCACTGGATTTTTTCATTTACATTTCGTCAATTAATAAATAGTAGACCTACATACAACACGAGAAACATCACAAAAACATTTCAAAGGCACATGCAGGGCTATAAAGCTGGTGACCGACTGAAAGTGAACGAGCCTTAGGCTATCACTGCAAGGGTAGGTGGAATACATAGGTGTAAGTTACTTAGCAGCATTTTTTTGTTACCGTACTGTAAGGTTTCAAGTTAGTTACAATTTTGGACCAATGAGGTTTGAGGATTTTAAGTTAGGCATAGCTGTAGAATTTAATTATTATAGGCCTAAGTTATACAATGAGTAGATGGTTGGGACAGTGAGTCGTTGCATTACAATCAGTGGCAAAGAGAGATTATAAACAAAAACATTTGGTATTATATAGATCACGGATGCCACGCTAAAATAATAATTTTTTGCTTATTATGCTTGATAACGTCCTAAATTCGAAAATGATCGTCATTTCCCCTGTAAAAGTACCGTATTCCCGGAAAAGCGGGAAACAACATTTTTGTTGTTGGCTTCAACGGGTAGAGTAAATTTTGTAGCTCCACCACATTTCTAACATAGGCCTATAGATAACCAAGGGTATGTTACAATAAAAATGAAAGAAAACATCTGACGTTTTTTAAATATATTGAACACAAAGGAACTTTAACATGAACTCTTATTACCCTTAAACTAGGCCCTAAGTTAAAGGTCTAAGCCTAGCCTACTGTTCATGCATTATGCCTAGGCTATAATAAAATTATCCCAAAGGTAATGTAATCCCCTATGGTACAGTTTCTTAACTGGGCTATGCTGACATCGATTCGATTAGTAAACCTCCGTTCGAAAACCTCGTTTTCAGAAAGGTTGTGAAATAGGCTAAATATGAAAAAGACACAATACAAAGTTGGGCCTAGGCCTACCTTTTCTCTATCCACCGGCTTTTCAGGTTCCACAAATCTTTCTTCAACTCTGACCATTGATTCTAACGTTGAAGCCATCTTTGGGTTACAGAATAAAATATTTTTGAACTTCAGAAAGTTAAGTTGACTTTAGTTTATACAGTAATAAGTCAAATGTTATTCGGCAGAGAAACTCTCTACTCTCTCTTTGAGTGGAGTGATAAATTAAATAAAAATAAATAACCTCAATCAAACCAAAACAAACGTAGCAACAGCAACAGCAACTCTACTATAAATAGCAACTCTCACTCAACTCAACTCAACTCTCCTCAACCTCCAACGTCCTCAACTCAAGCTTAAGCTCAAAACAAAACCAAAAGTCAAAGCAAAGTCTCAAACAAAACCAAAGACGTCAAATGAAACGAAACAAACCCGACCACCCTAAAATAACCAGAGACTTTTAAAAACAACTCATCATAAGCGTGGGGTGTCATAGCTTATAATGTCATAGCTTATAATCGTGAATTTGTTCCATAGCTTATAATGTTGAAAATGTGGCATAGCTTATAATCAGTTATAAGCTATGCCACACTTTCACGAAAAATTATAAGCTATGCCACAATTTCTCTAAAACGTTATAAGGTATGACACATTTTCAGTTCCACAACTTATAATGGTCAAATAGTGGCGCAGCTTATAATTCCGATTCTGTTCTATAGCTTATAATCCTGATTTTGAGTCATACCTTATAATCCTGATTTTGGGGCATAGCTTATAATTGAAGAGAATGTTGCATTGTGGGAATGGCATCAGCTGCTCGCTTCAGTCAGGTCTACCATATATACGATATTTTATGGTAGGATACGATAATTATTGTAATTGACCGTACTGACAACTGCGATATCGTAATTTATAACCTAAACATTTATTCATTTAAATGTTTTAAACGATTTTTATACGAGCAATGGCAACAATTACATGCTATATGACAATGAAAATGCAAGAAATATTCATAGTGAGAAGTTAAAAGATATGAAAATGAAGTGAAGGATAACGGCATTGAAAATTAATTAATCTTGTCAATAGTCCGGCTGGTGTTGACAGAAGATAAAGAGGAACAATAATTATTAATAAATTGTAAACATCAAAAAATTCCAAAACTATTGAGGTGTTGAAATCCAGTAAGTTGTGTTTTAATCCAATCCTGTTCCTAGGCCTTGTTATTCAAAGTAACAAAATGCAGTAGGCTATTATTTGCTTGAGTGTTATTAGGTTAAGTTAGTAGGTACAGTTGCCTAGCCTACTTAAGCTTAAGGTAGCTGTGACTCAAGTTACAGATTTCCTGTGACAGGCCTAAACAATTAACTTAATAAAAATATCAGTGAATGTATTCAACGGCTGCACTTTATTTTACGTCCTACACTCATTCGAATGAAAATATTGATTATTAGATTGTTTCATTCGATATATCGTTTGGTTAGTTAGGTTAGGTTAACCTTACCTAACTAACCAAATGATATAACTTATCTAATAATCGATATATCGATCGATTTTTTCATTCGAATGAGTGTAGGACGTAAAGTAAAGTGCAGCCCTTAAGTTTACGTCCTACACTCATTTGAATGAGTATTAAGTATTCAAGTAGGCCTATATTCGATATAAGTAGGCTATCAAGTTTGTATCATTTGTGTAACCTTAGAAATGGTAAGCGTGATAATACTGAGCCAAGAGATTTAACTTGGGTAGGCCTACAGTTTCTTAACTGGGCTACGCTAACTTAAGTTAATATATTTTATTGAACTACAGTATTGAATTAAAAATATTGATTAATAATAGATATTTTAAAATATACCTATCTAAGTTTATTATAAAATTAAATTATCATAACCTAACTTAACCAACCAAACTTGCTGATGGTGAAAAAATCGCATGTAGGTTTACTAATCGAATCGATAGTTTCAATAAAATTAGCGTAGTCCAGTTAAGAAACTGTACCCTTTAACTTATTCTACCATCAATACTGTTAATACTATTCAATGAAATGGCGACGATACATATTAGGTATTTTAAGCCAAGTATGAATGGAAATTTAGTAGTCTATAAAATAACTTACAATAGGCAACGTCACAAAACTTAAGTTAGGTTAATTTCACACAGTAAACAAGGCAGCAAACCATGCAGTTAACTTATGGCAAAAAAACATGTAGGCTACCTAAGAAAATGAAATTGTGACACATACCTGAGTACATGAATAAAATTACAAATTAGGCAAGTAGGCCTATGGGTCAACTTTTTTCATATTAGCCCACCATACTTACAATTGATTGTAATTGGCAAAGGCAAAAATCCTTGTACTATGTTTCATAACCTAAAATCAAATGAAAATTCGGTTTGAAGGTGTAAGGCGGGATAAATCTGAATGAGTTCGCGAACTAGTATGATCGGGCCATGGGACTGGGTTTTAATGAGTTCTATGCAGAGAAGGGGCCTAGGCCAAAAAATGGGGTTTTCTCATTTTTTACCCTTAAAACACAAAATTTATCAATTATTCTCTAGACCTTTCTAAAGAAATTTAAAAAAATAATATGTCATCTATGTATCGTGTTGTGTATAGTGGAGTCGTGGATTAGTTGTCCGCTTAACTGTGTGTGTGTGTAAGTGTTCGCATAAAAAACTCAAGCTAACCGTTGCACCTATAGTGTTAAAAAATTGCACGAATCTTAATTATGACACCAATGGAAAGACACCATAAAATTTAGACGATTCCGTTCAGTAGTAATTATAAAACCCTCAAAATACATTTTTAAATTTGTCCCATAAGAATAACATTAGAAGCTACCTTCTTCTACTTTTTATTTGTTTATGTTTTGCGACCAACAAAAAGCTTGATTTATATTTTAAAGTATATATATATATAGGCTATATTTATTTTTATAAATCAAACTTGAAAGCTTTATTTTATACTAAGCTATTAATGTTTTAATAAAAAACACACTTTATTAGTTCCACCTGGGTAATGACACTTGGGTCCGAGAGAACCAGTGGCCTTCGAGTTTTTAAGTTTTTATCTACCAATCCAAATATTTGTACAAAGAAAATATGCCCTACCTTGAGCTATAGTTCTATATTCTGTTTTTACTTTTAACAAGAAGTAGACCTGAATGATGTACACTGCCTATTTTTGTTCCAGGTAAATTTTCTTGTAAAGCTTGGAGCATTGCAAATGTTTGGTGTTAATGTATGAGAGTACTTCACATGTAAACAATATTGATGAAGTTGTCTGCTTATTTGGGGCCAAATAAGAAGGAGAGAAATTTTCTTGGAAAAGAATCGAAAGCAATAAAGATAAGTAAGTTTGGCTAAGTTATCAATATGATTAAAAAGCATTTTCAGTCCTTGTTTAACATTAACACGTTGACTGCTAACGCCGACTCTAGTCGGCGTCGCTAGCACTTCAATGTGGCGCGCGCCGACAAAAGTCGGCACCAGACCAACAGAAATGTATTGAGTCAGTGTGAGCTTAGCCTCAGACGGAGACGTTATAATCGTTGCCAGCCTGCCAGCTTAGAATGCGAGCTTTACTTTGGTGTAGGTTGGTACTAAAATTTCCCGTAAAATCCTGTCTGGCAATGCTTTTGTCCCGGTTTCGGGGATTTTTTCTCTTCAACCCACATTACAAAGACACTGGATACGGATCCGTGCAGTGCTGCTACCTTTGGGTGTTTCAGTGAACTACATCCACTCTCGGGGTAACGCAGCACAGTCACCACTGCTCTTTTGTGATTCGTCAGACTGAAATATTTGAATGCCAATTGCGTTCGCTGATTCGGTTGCGTGCCAGGGCTTCGCCCGCCACTGGGGAGCGCCTGTACGTTGTTTTCAGCAGTCATCGTGTTAACTTATGATGTGCTGTGGCGGTTAAGTTTTATATTTGGAAAAAAATACACTTTAATCAACTTACAGCACTGTTCAAGTTTCAGAGTTACCTATGGTGACAGAATAATACAAGGCATGTTATTTAAGTAAGTACTGTTTTTAAATTTCTCCGTTTCAGTGCTGCGATTGGCATTTTGGACATTTGTGCTGTGTATGTGGATGTATTGGCAAGCCTGCGCTGGAAATTCGGCACAAATCGGCTGTGTTTACATCCGGTTTAGAGCATTCAAAACGGTGCCGCCAATTGAGACTGCCGTCGCCTGTGAAGTTTGCGCTGTACCGGTAATTAGATTTTTAAGTGCTAAAGGTGTGAAAGCCATTTAAATTCATTGACAGATTAGTGAAGTGTATGGGGAGAAAATTATGAGTGGCGGAATTGTACCTACGCAGGTGGGTAAGGGCATTTAAAGATGGCCGAACCAACGTTCATGAGAAGCAACGCACAGGGTGGCCATCTATCAAATTGTCATGGTGATTTCCAGGATGAGAATCCGTTATCTTCGGAACCGGAGACTTACGCTGTACAACTACACCAGTCTAAATGTGTGGAAAGATCAAGTTATTTGTTTATAGTTTATTGCCCCCACACAACTGGTAACAATAAAGTAGTTTCACATCTTTTTGTGGTAAAAAAATGTTAATACCAGCACAGAATTAAATTAGTTTTTTTTCTCCAACACCCATTAAACCTTAGATACATCGATTGCTCATATGTAGGAGCTTGAACAAAAACGATCATACTAGTTTGATGAGACACCGTGCTTGTCAGATCATGTGAAATGAGAAAGGCTACTATCTTACTAACGTTATAAATGTGAAAGTTTGTGTGTTTGTTTGTTCGTTTGTGTGTTTGAAGTTCAATCACGTGTTAATTACTGGATGGATTGGGCTCAAATTTGGCATGATGATAGCTCACATTCACGATTAACATAGGTATAGGCATATTTTTATCTCAAAAATCCTTTTGGGCTCCGTCTTAGTGGCTCTAGAGTTTCCCATGTTAACTTATGAGTACTCATATTTAAATGGAATTAAAGAATTTAGTCAGCTGTTTCAACTAAAAAGGTTGGTTCTATGATATGCAAAGGCATTAAAAGTTATAAGATTTACCAACAGGATGCAGCACTATTATTTTTTTTCATTTATGAAAACAGCTAATTTGAACTAAGCAGCAACAAAAAACTGTGATACACAATGATAACTGTCTGTTTACAGTTATGTTTATGTTTTTAATTTCACGAAGAATTTGTGATATTTTGTGAATCTTTAATAATTAATTTTTTTCTTTTGTTTGGGTGAAGTGGTAGAACATTATGGCTATGGTAGATGAGTAATACTATAGTCATAGACAATAGAGTAAATATAGACTGTCAAAGAAAGGTTTTGCGATCTGCCTCTTGAGCGTTTTTGCCGTTCGATATCAGTTATCGGTATTCAATCCAGTGTCGTCTTCGAATACTCGCCAGCTGTTACCAGCACTACCACTCTTGCAAACGAAATGATTACTATTCACTATTGTCGTCTTCTGCAATCGCGTCAAAATCATGAACATCTTCCGCGGCTGTGTAGACATCATCATTGAATGCCGTGGTCACAAAACGTCATCGTCGTCCACGATTGTGGCAAAATTGTGAACATCTTCAGCGGCCGTATATACAATCGCCTTGCGCGATCGCAGAAAAGACAAGATCATTTTTCCCGTGGTCCGTGGTCACGAAAACGTCGTCTAGCACAGTCGCGGTTTAAGAACATCTCCCGCGGTCGTGTAGACACATCATCGTCTTGCGCCGTCATGGAAACGTGATCGTTGTCTAGCGCGATCGAGGTAAAATCATGAAATTTACCGACTTTGATATGAAAATAAAGACTAAATCCCAACTTTTCAAGACCATTTTGAAATTCAATACTAAGTTAATACGTGACTTTCCCGTTTTCCCCGACTACTAGACATCCTAGTTAAATTTTATTTTGACCTTGCAAATATAAAACAAAACCTTCCAATAAACCACTTCCTAAAATTATGGATTAATAAAGAAAAACTTTGAATCATTGTAGTGAAACTACAAAAGTATAACAAATATATGTTTAAAAAAAATACAATAAAAGATGGCATTTAAATTAATTTATTGCTTATTATTAAATAAGTCAGTTAAACTCGAATTCCAGGGGATTCCTCCAAAATTGGCAACACTACTCCCAACTACCAATTTGTTATAGAAACGGTCGCTAGCGCTTGATGCTGCAGCGGTGTGCGCTGTAACTACACATTACCCCTTGGCGGTCGGCGCCGGAATATACGCTAACCGCAGCACAGCTGGCCACTCTACTCCTGCCCAGTATGGTCAGACCAACTAGCATATGATTTTATATGATGAAGCCGTACTTGGGCTACCGCTGTATGGTTTCATCATGACATGTATTTCAATCATTCACTGGGTTATAATTTGTATGTATTTGAATGGATACATTTAATACTTAATTGATAAAAGACTATGAAAACCGTTTAGTGCTCTATGGTGTTCTATAATGCTATGGTGGACACAAGAGCGTAATCTGATTTGGTTCTACAGTACTTTACTTTACTTTAATTTTAATAGTAGCCTGCTGTTAGCAGGTTTGTGCTGTGCTAGGCAAGTGTGTGCAATATCCATGGAAAAATTATGTTGAATCCTCTCACCTTGTGCAAGGATCCTTTAAGTCAATCTCAATTTCTCTTGCAGCAAAGTCCAGGACAAATTAACCACCAAGTTAACAAGACACCCCTTTCTCTATTTAGTTCTGATTACAATTTTGAGTTATTGATTATTTGTTTCAGGATAGCATGACAGAAGAATGCAGGGGTGAGGTTCATAACTCCAAGTTTTCATAACTCCAAGTACTTTTAAATACAACATTTCATAACTCCAAGTAAAATTATGTCCAAGTAAATTAAAACCAAAATATCATAAGACCAAGTTTCATAACTCCAAGCGTTCATAACTCCAAGATTCATAAGTCCAAGTTAAAATAAAACCAAGTAAATTAAAATACAAAATTTCATAACTCCAAACGTACAGATTTGCAAGGACCACAAGTCCAAGTTTCATAACTCCAAGGGTTCATAACACCAAGTTTCATAACTCCAAGTGACAATGGGTACAGTCAGTGCAGGAAACGATAACGTACGGACACACACGCACCCATTACACACACACATGCTGGAAGAGAGTTTCCGATGTTGGCGAGACTATTGGAAGTGGTGCGTTCCCTGTCGCTTTGCACGTTCGTCTAAATTGTAATACAAATAGTGAGAGGATGAAATCTACATATTTAAATTCTGCGTAAACTGATGTTTAATACTATATAAATACAATTTAGTTCGTGCAGATGATTAATGTTTAATAATGGAAAATATGAAAAGGTTGTTCAATGTAAACATGAAAAAGTAAGTGAGCGAGGATTTTTTTTATTTTTTGGTCAGATGAAAACTTTCAGCGAGAAAAGTATAGATAGTAAGATGTTCTTCAATTTTTGTTCCAAACATTTTTTCGTAAGACTTTTAGTTTGTCCAATAATCGACTTAGATGACCACCACGAGGTTTGAATGAATTAGTTTACGCGCACGGTATTTTAGCAATTGCCGTCTTCCAACAACAATATTAAGGAAATACAGTATTAGTTCACGTTTTAAAATTTCTAAACTATGAAAAATATTTAGTCTTAACTTCTTCAGCTGTATGTACGAAATTTCGAAATTTTTTCTACATAATATTCGTGATGCACAACGCAAATAAGTCGTAGTGCCTTTTTTCCACTATTTTTCATCTCCTATTTTTCGGAAAAAATTTACACAGGATTAATCCACCTTAAGGTTTCATCTTGTAGCATTCATTTGTAAATATAAAATTTGATTATAGTTACAATTACTTGTTCCCTCATAAATCTTTATTCTGTAACAAATATGAGAGTGTATGTTAGCAAAGTAAATTGTACGTAAAATGTCTGTAGTGCATAATGGGTTTAATAAAAAAAATACCATATTTAAAATTTTAAAAATACTATCTAGATTTGTATGATCCAAACAAGCGGATATAATCTATAGATAGGTCTAAACATTTGGATTTCGGGACTAAATTATCATAGAAATATGTTTTTGAGTAAATACATCTATACTTAATACCAGATTCTTTTATTTGAGTTAAATATAAGGTATTTATCATTTAGGTATTATTTAAGTACCTTAATGAGTTAAGTACTATAATATAAGAATTGATGTCGTCCAGTGGTCAAAATTCGACCACAATCCAAATAAAATATGAACTTATCTATATTCATCCCGCGCTGAAAATCAAACATGTGATGATTGTGTACCAGTCTTCAATTTGTTTTGATTTTCTGTATATTTATCGTTGTTATTGCGTCACCAGAATTTTAACTCATAATCCAAATGTTAGTTTTTTGTTTATGTTAAATTCGTTTTCGTACTTATTTTTAATCATTTTTTTAATTTATTAAGTTGTTCTGTTTATCTACAGGAAAATATGTTTCTAACAGTATGCGTAGATTTTCCTTGCGATGCACACGAGCTGAGAAAAGGGCCTTAAAGAAACATATTTGCCTATTAATATATAGATATAGCTAATACTTGTCATACCAATAAGGAGAATAAATAAGCAGACACAAGAAGGATCTTATTTAAGAAACATAATTTAATGTAGGCTATTCTAATAGCCAGTGAAATTTATTTTTTCCTACAGTTACCTAACAATGTACATGTTCTCTCACTGATTTGAGAAAGCAAAGTGGCCAATTCGCTCATCAGTGAGACAATGTTAACATTGTCTCACTCTAATTACTTTGTCTCACTCCAGATTTGCAACGAGAAGGCACGAAATAGTGAGCGCGTAACATGCAGGCAACGTCGTATGCGCGCGAAATACGTTGGCAGCACTGGCTGTAAATCAACTGGTCAGCTGTTGTACTGTTGTATTTGTCACTTCACATTAAATGTTATGTTAAAAGCTCACTTCTGTGTAAAAATAGGTTATGTTTCTTTAAAAATTTATTTGTTTTATGGTAACTGTAGGAAAAGTATAATGTGCAACTCGAGTTCAAAGTACAATTGCCTCACTCGAGAAACCATTCCTCACTCGCCTACGGCTCGTGAGTAAGGATTTCTCTCGAGTGAGTCAATTGCTCACTTTTCTCACTAGTTGCACAAATAACTATTGTAAACCTTACAAGAGAGATAATAGTAATAATAATCGAAAGTATATAGTAAAATTAGTGGGATTCTGTTAACTGCCGCAAACATTTTATCAGTAGGCCTACTGTTCACCTTCGTACTGTTGTACTGGCTCATCCCTTGCTTTGCTGGATACGTTACACGCACAGATCTGTAGTCTTATGTGGACGG